AAGTAAAACGGCTATAACTTTTGCATACAATGTCAGAAAAAAATGTATAATATATCAAATGTTCAGCATAAAAATCCGCATCCGATTTTGATGGCCTATGGCCTGTTTGCAAATTTTTGGAATCCTTAAATACTAAAAGGAAAAAAGATATGCTCAAATTTTAATTTTTTTTTGAATTTTGGTTAAGTCTGGTCAAACTATGGTCAGACTACTTATTCAAGAAGTATTAGTGTTACTACATAATTATTCAAGAATATTAGTCTTACTAAATAATTATTTCAATTTTTTTTGAATTTTGGCCAAATCTGGTCAAACTGTGGTCAAACTACTTATTCAAGAAATATTAGTGTTACTAAATAATTATTGTTTTTTAGAATAATAGTTTCAAACTCAAACAGTGAAACGTGTGAGTTCATGCTCAAGCTAAACTCCTGAGGGTTAATATGATTGACATCTTACTATTGTCAGGAAAACAATAAGTGTAGACTTGGAAACGAGGGGGAATAGAATCCAGAAGTTAAGCGTGCTCAGGCTGGAGTAGTGAGAGGATGGGTGACTGGCCAGGAAGTTAAATGATTTGGAATGATGAGGGGTGATTAGATATTAGAGGTCAAATTCAGCAGTGATGAAGGATGATTAGAGATTGAATAGTAAAATAATTCAGAAATTTGAAAATCAATTTAAAAAAACAATTTTTTTGTAAAATTTCCTTTAGTCCTGGTACCAACCAACCGAGACTAAAGGTGGAGCTCCGGACAGCAGCCACGTGGAGGGCCTTTAGTCCAGGTTCGTATAAGAACCAGGACTAAAGGGGGGGCCTTTAGTACCGACCCTTTAGTCCCGGTTCCAGAACCGGGACTAAAGGCCCTCTAGAACCGGGAAAAATGACCATTTTTCTACTAATGCGCCTCCATACGAACGAATGCGGGCGATCCCGGCCCGCCGTGCGGCCCCTTCGGGCACCGGTGGCACCGGGACGCCGCCGGCGCTCAACTTCCACGACCCCAGCACACGCATGTCCGGAGGTGCCGGATAGTCGGCCTCGTAGAGGAGGCGCGCCTCCTCCTCGTGAAGATGGCGGCGGCCGAAGCCGTTCGCCGCTGCGGCATTGCCGGGGTACCTCTCAGCCATTGCTCGTCCGCGGGAAGAGGGGGGTGTTGCTTTGTGTGGCGACACGAGGCGAGGTGTGGCGACTGTGGCGTTCGTCGGCGGGGAGATTGGTTTTTATAGCCGAAGCGGGGCGGTGAGAGCCTGCATGCCGGGCAACGCGTGGCGGGAGCGGGCGGGACGTGCATCGGTGGCGCCTTCACTGCGCCGCCCGTGAGGCATCAGTGGAGGCTGATCGGCGCGGCAGCGTGGCAACCTTGGCATTGATTTCCGCGGGAACCAAGGCGATGAGGACGACGAAGTGGCGTCTCGCTGACTCGGCGGGCCCATCCCCATTCGCGCCAAAAACACGTTCCCCGGCGCCCCTAGGCGACCCTCAGCGCGTCGGGTTCGGCCTGGATCCGCCGGCGCCAAACCGGCGAAAAACGTACTCTTGAAGGTGCGACTGGATTTTTTTTGAGCGCCGGCGGCAAGAAAACATCTGGGAAAGCCTATTGAAGACGCGTCCGAAGATGCTCTAGGAAACCAGCTAGCTACTGGTGAAAATGTAATAGCTGCCGGCGAAAAGGAGCGGAATGAATATTGCTCCGCATCTTATTCTCAACTTTATTTCTTCTTCCAAAGTCTGAGGCCGGATGCGAATAGTGTTGGACAAGTTGTTAGACAATATATCCCCACAAAAAGTTGTTAGAAAATATAGATAGAATGCTAAACAAGCTGAGTACAAACATTCTCAGCTATTCGCAAGAAAAAAATAGCGCCCTACAATAAAATAACATCGACTTCAAAATATGTTTAACATGCTATATCGCGCTATAGCATGCTATTAGCAAGATGTTGTATATTGATATATTTAGTGAGACAATTCTCAATACGCTATAGCGTGCTATTTTTTCACTAATTTGTGAAAAAAATCAATCGTATAGGAGTACATCATATCAAATAGTGATCATTTGACCATAATATTTCCAATTCAGTACGCAAATCTAGCTTGTAGATACAATTATACTTGTCGAAACAGGCTTTCATCTAGGAAAATTCGCAGGGGCATGCACCTGCCGAGCCGTACCCGGCCACACGATTATCTCGCGATTCGCAAATTTGTTGGATTTCACACGAGGACACACCTGGTTTTAAGTTTTAGTTTCTGAAACTTGTGTTTTTTGTTTTTCTTATCAAGTCTTAGTAGGTGAAACTTAAGAAAGTTTTTAAAACTCGTCAAAATGTATTCAAAATCGGTATTATTTGAAAGCCCATGTCACAAGAAATATGAATATGAAGATGGAACTTAATTTAGACTTCCAGTTCAAAAGATTTGAAAGATTGAAATTGAAAGCCAAAAAAAATAGGGTCAGTGCCCCTGCCCCTCTACCTTTATATATAAAGACCAAAATGTCAAACCGACAGTCAAAAGTCTCCATACAAATATGTCAAACACTTCCTTGCACAAATAACCATACTCTCTCCTCATCTTCTTCTATGAAAAAATGACTTATACGAACAACAACAAAATCGAGACAACCTACATAGAGTCAACTACACCAGAGGTACACATGTATGTATAAAGCAAGCATGTGTACCACTGGTGTATGTTTACCTCTGATTTATTTCACATGTATGTATAAAGCAAGTATGTGTATCTCTAATGTATTTGACGCAACTTAGCTATAGCAAACGCTGGAAATGTATACTCTAAGAAATAATAACAAGTAAATAAATGGATAGTCTAGAAACTTTTATCTACTACTGGTTGGGGAGATTCCCTCCTGGCGGGCTGCTTCGGCTCTGCGGTCTCTTTGTGCAGCGTGCAGATGTTTGGGGCGCGCATCCAAGCCTACCTACGAATGGTTGTTGGGCATCTTTGATTGGAGTGGCTTCTTCGAGGCGTATAGGTGATGGTGATGTAGACCCGGTCAGCCAGATGATGGTAGTTGTAGGCTGTACTACAACAACCTCCTACGACTCCATATGCCGACGATGGTCACCGAGAAAGTCTTTGGAGATGGTTCATCTATCCATATGTAGTGATTGACTTTGGTGATGAGATCTAAACTATAGACGAAGGCTTGATGCAGAGATGATTGTGCAGCGGCAATTCACATGTAGTTGCTGGGATCGTGAAAAAATGATGGTAACAACACATGTGTGACTTTGATGACGGTCTTGCGTGCACCCGTCTCGAGCTCTGGAGTGAAAGCCTAGGTCTAACCTGAGTTGATTATACCTGGTAATGGCAACACTTTTTTGTGTTGTTACTTTGTTGAAGGGCATTGCTCTCATATGGTCGGACTGCTTCTTTAGAGTGAAAACCGAGATTCTTGCCATGATGATTGGATCGGTGCCCTTTCTGAAGGTGTTGCTGTTGAAGAAGTTTGTCATCCGTGTAGTGTCATAAAATAATTGGTATGGATATGATAATTATTACAGTTTGCCGATCACAAATCTAATCACTTTAAGGCTTTTTTTTTGTTTTTCCTTGTCTACGCATATTTTTGTCTTATATAATTTTGCTAGTTGTCGATCTGTCTTAGTATGTTTTATATAGTGTTTGTATCAACTTGATGCTACATTTTGAACAAATAAAATCCATTCTTTATGGATGGAAAAAACTACTGATGGCAGAAAATAAAAGCCAGCATGCATCTCCTATATTGCTCAAAATAGTATGTGTAAGAATCTCTTTCCACACGCGTCTCCTTTGCCGGCCTCCTTTTGCTTTGCTTTGCTCTCCTCTCTACGTACTACACTCTCGTCTCTTCCTCTCTACGAAATCGTTCCCTAGCTACCTTTACTTCTTCTCGAGGCTACCAGCCAGCAGAATCGAATTCCTCCCCCGTACGTCGCCGTCGCCGTCGCTCCACCGTTGCCAAGAACGGCAAGCTCTCTCCGGTAAGCCGCCTCCTCCTCCTCCGCCCGTCTCCTACCTATTTTCGTCATCCTATCTATCTCTATACCTTGGATGGGAGAGCACCGCACATCTCTGCGTAGCACATCACCTTTTTAATGCGGCGTTTTCCTCCGGAATCTTCCATGGTTTTTAGATATATTTTTCCTTCCAATATGGAATGTATTGCCTTTATACTCCAGCCTTGGATCATTGGAGAAAACCTAGTTTCACTCCCCCTGAATTTTGTTGAATATATCGGTCGGTCAGTACTGTTCTTGGGTATGCAGGAGTACTCCTAGACTAGAGACCAGAGAGAGTATACGAATGTCGTCCAACTAATTCACAACACAACACCATCGATCGGCGTCACTGGAGCTGTCATTTTCCTGAAGTATCTAGTGACTACTGTGATGAAATTTCTAGACGAGCCTTGTATAATCTATTAGGTGTCTCTTCCTGAAGCCTCTAGTGGAACCGTACGCCTGTCTGGAAGCGCCCGAAACGATTTTGGAAATACTAACTGCGCGTGGGGTCGCACTCACATGGTGGGAACGGACTTGTAGAATGTGCAACGGCAGTGACATCTGAATCTTCCCCTGTGTGTTTTCTTTGGTTCAATTCGTGTTCTTTGTCTGAGGGTCTCTTTGATTCGCGGGATTGTAAAAACATGGGAATAGGAAAAACATAGGATTGAAATGTCATGCTCATCTCAATCCTATAGGAGTTTAGGTTGTTTGATTGCATCATAGGAAAAACGAAGGATTCTTTCAAAGAGGTTTGACTGGATGCTAGAAATCCTATGGGAAGTAGTACAAAAAATTCCTTAGAAAAAATTCCTATAGGATTCAATCCTATGAATCAAACAACCAATATAGGAAAAATTCCTAAGGATTCTAATCCTCCAAAATTCCTATGCAAATCCTTTGAATCAAAGGAACCTAAACTCAACTACTTACCTGTTGCATTCAGAGTTCAACTGGTGTTGCTGCTGACCAGGCCCGGCTAGATGGCAGAAGTAGTACAAGTACACAAGGTAAATCTAGTAATTAAGTTCAGTACCATCTGACTATATTGATCAACCAATCATTTTTTTGTCAAACTGGTGCCCCCTAAAGAGGGCAAACCCATTTTATTAACACCCTAAACAGGGTACAGACAGCAGCCTTCCCTTGGGGATTTGATCAATCAATCATGTTTATGTTCTGCTATGGTGTAGCTGCATGCTGTAAGATTCCACAGCTAAGCTAAGCACTAGTTTTCAGGGCATTGTATGATTCACAAGTATCCCTCTGTTTCAAAATATAAGACGTTTCTTGACACTATGATAGTGTTAAAAAACGTCTTGTATTTTGATACGGAGGGAGTAAATAACTTGACCAGTATTGACTGTCAAGTTTCTAATCTGCAAGAAGCAAGATTGTGACCTATTTTAGGTCATATTGTTTTGTTCAGAACTCTCATACTCTGTAGCTAGGCCTTCGGTTTAAAAGGAAATCATTCACCTCGCTAAGTAAATTATGGTGTCAGAAGAAATAACTTGAATCATCAAGCATCATAGAAATCTTATGCCAGTTGTACCTATAAAGTGTCCTCTAAATCTGTTACTACTTTTATGTTGCCCGATTTTCTCTGACAAAACTAAATGGATATCAGTCAATTACTATACGTCCACGACTTGCTGTATTACTAATTCAGTTGGGTGCAGGATTGGGTCGGGTCATTACCCTCCGGGAAAAAGATAACAGTTGTTTTTGTCATAGGTATTACTTCTTCTAGACTAATACACCAGTTCATGATATGCCCTCTGCTTAACTCTTTGAGCTGATCAATCCATTGCCTATACTGCTGGTGCAGGAGGGCCAGGCAGTGGCAAAGGCACTCAGTGTGCTAAGATTGTGAGTCAGTTTGGGTTCACCCATCTGAGTGCTGGCGATCTTCTTCGCGAAGAAGTTAAATCTGATACCGAGCAAGGGTATAACAACCTAGTCCCTATTCGTGTAAATGAACTCTATGTTGTAGTCATTGTCTCGGTATCTTTCTAATGCCTACCCTTTTTAATTAGTGCAATGATCAAGAATCTCATGCATGAAGGAAAGCTTGTGCCTTCTGAGATCATCGTTAGGCTACTGTTAAAGGCCATGCTTGCAAGTGGAAATGATAAGTTTCTCATTGATGGATTTCCGCGAAATGAAGAGAACCGCGAAGCATACGAGAAGATTGTAAGAATGCTTCTATGTACTTATGATAGTGCCAAAAGAAATTGAATCCCTTGTTGTATGCTTCACACATATACATTTGTGTGTTCAGATTAAGATAGAACCTGAGTTCGTATTACTGATTGACTGCTCAAGGGAAGAGATGGAGCGGCGCATTCTACATCGAAACCAGGTTTTGTGCTTGTGTTTCCTTAGGCCCAACTCGTCTCATTTGATTAACATGTGTCACTCAATTTGGTTGTCTTCAGGGAAGAGATGATGACAACATGGAAACCATTCGTCGGCGGTTCGAAGTTTTTCAGCAATCAACTCTGCCTGTTATTCAGCACTATGAGAAAATGGGAAAGCTTCGAAGGGTACTTTAATAGCTGAAATTATAATTCTATAATACATATAGTAGAGTAAATAGAATATAGCAAACTGAATCTCATACATGCCTATAAGATTCCAAGCCAATATGTATATCCGTTATTCAAGAATCTAGAAAACTGAATCTCATCTTATTTTCAGAGAAATAGTTATGTTGATTTTCAGCTTCGATTTTTGTGAGCCCAAAACACATTTGAAGTTTTCAATACCGACATAGTTATACGAAGTTCGTACACTGTGAAGATTATGATAATGTAGATGCAATAATAAGAAATGTTCTTGTTTTGGTGACATCATGTGGGTTTTTATGAGAATTGTGACTTGTGAGGTTGCTTCCTGTCCTGCCCCCTCAGGTTGATGGTGACAGGCAGCCAGACATGGTGTTCGAAGACGTGAAGGCCATCTTCGCGCAACTAAACACTCAGGTTATATCCATTGTTGCATCTTGTAGTTATTAATTTTGAAATAAATCATGGGATCGGCGTTTACGGTTTACCCGCGTCTTACTCTGGCGTCTTTGGTAGGCAAACGAAGGCAGCAACATAAGCAGAGCACAAATTAATCCATTCAAGCGTTGGTTTCTCGACCTTTTCTGCAGTAAGCAACTGTTTCATGATTGTTCCTGTGGTTCAGACAATTGATTTGAGTAGCTTCAGTCCGGTTACTTGAAATTTATATATTCAGTCTGCAACCATGCTCGATCATGTTCATTGTTCGACATGATTGACACCAGGTGTATGTTTGACCTTCAGGTTGCTTCGATTTGCAAGACAGAAGGAACTGACCATCTTCTACAGAGATGTTTAATTAGTGTGGCGCCCTTCAGTCCTGGATCAAGAATTCAAGATGGAGCAGCAAGCAGGTACAGCAAAAGAAACCGTTAGTGTTCTGATGTGTTCATCCGGTGTGTTGTGTTGTGAGCTCGATTGAGCTGTGTGCATTTCATTGTGTAAACATTTTAACAAAAGAGAACCCCGTCCAGCTGCAGTTTGTTACTGAATTTGATCGTGTAAACATGTTTGTTAACAAAGAAACGCAGGCTTTGTCCTTCTACGAGCGACAGGGAGACAGATCACGTACCAAACCTAAAGATTACTAGACATATCAGAAAGGACTTCCGACCCGAGGGCGTGTGGGTGTTCTATTTATAACTGCTGGTGCGGCGCCTCCACGCCGGCGACTGTGGCAGCGGCGTAATGCGGCGGCTCAGCCTGCACGCCGGCGTGCTGCAGCGGCAGCAGCAGCTGCTGCTGCTGCTGCTGCTGCATGCTCCTGTACGCGATGCAGTCGCTCACCTTCTTGACGTAGCTCTCCGCCATCCAGCCCAGGCTGACGAGCTGCTCGATGGCGACGCCGGCAAGGCCCTGACGGCGGCCGGCCAGAGCGTCGTGGAGGAGCAGCATGGTCTCGAGCTGGCGGTTGTCGCGCTGCGCCCTGCGCAGCTGCTCCTGGATCTTGGCGATGCGCTCCCGGACGTAGTCCTCCCCGTCCATCTTCTTCTTGCACTGGTCCAGCTCCGGCATGGCCCTGAAGCGGTCGATGACGCGCATCGCCTCCGGGACCGACGGGTACACCTCCGGCGGGGAGGCCCCGCCCTCGCGGTACATGATGTAGCACGTGTCCACGCCGCACAGCACCGACAGCTCCCCGGCCTTCTTCTTGATCCCCATGTCGCGCTTCCTCGCCGTCGCCTTCCGGGTCGGGTCGCTCGCGATGTACTCGATGGCCACCTTCTTGCGAGCCATGGACGTCGACGCCGGTCGCCGCGAGGAAGAAGGCGGTGTAGGAATCGAGGTGAAATATATGGTTGGCCTGCTGCGGCTTGGGAGACAACGGAATGGCGGTCTTATAGTGGAGTATCGAGTGGAGGGATCGCTGCCATCGACGTGATTGGAAAGGGATTATTCTGACAGATATGAGGATCGCTTGAATTAGTGCCGGTTAATGCGTAGTTAGCTACAGCATATCTTCTGACCTATCGTGTCTGCTGAATGATCATAGGCAGATGTCAATCTGAACACAACGTTCAGCCCATCTCGTGAGGAAAACATAGGAAGTACATGTGGGTCCACCTCGTGAGGAAAACACGGAGAGGCGATCGAGGCGATTGCGAGGCGATCGCTGTCGAGAGCTAGGGTTAGGGTTTTCCGCGGTGGTGGTGAGGCTACCGGTGGTGCGTGAAGGGGTGACGGCGTCCCCGAACGCGCGGATCGGCGTGGATCTGACTCTGCTGTGGACGTGCCATGGCGGACAGGATGAGGAACGGGGCGGCGGCGCCGCAGAACGCAGCGAGCGCTCCCAAGGCGACGACTACGCCACGAGCGGCAACGGGCACGACGGCAGCCCCCACGGGGGCGACAACGCCGCGATCAGGCGTGCGCACGGCGGCGATGGGCTCAGCGCAGAAGACGCCACTGGGCGCACAAAGCAGAAACCCATCGCAGTCGCCCGTAGATGGCAAAGTCTCCGAGGAGGCGGCGGGACTAACTGCGCGCTTGGGGGGACTTGTGCTGGCGGAGAAGGAGGCTGCAGGGTTTGTCTTCAAGGAGCCTGAACGAGAACAAGCTAGGCCGGCGAAGTGGTCGGCCATAGGGAAAGCGTTTACCCCAAGGCTCATGAATCAGCGTGCTCTCGAGATGGCGATGCCAAGGGCATGGGGCCTCCACAAAGAAGCAAAGTTCAAGATAATTGGAAGGAACATGTTCATGGTGAAGTTTGGAAGCGAAGGTGACTGGAAACACGTGTTAAATAACGGACCCTGGCAGTTTGACTTTAATATTGTGGTGCTCAAGGATTATGATGGTGTTACTAGACCATCTGAGATGGTGTTTGATACGGTGGAGGTTTGGGCTAGGGTTGCTGATCTACCTTTGAATAAGCGTTCGAAGGAGTTCGGTGAGGCGCTTGGGAATTGGTTGGGTGGAGTGGTACGTGTGGATGTGGAGAAAGATGGATTTGCAAAGGGTCCGAATCTGCGTTTTAGAGCTAAATTATCAGTGCATGAGCCGTTGGTCCGGGGGTTCTATCTTAAAAAAACGGAGGAGGACTTGGAACAAACTTGGTTTGATTTCACCTACGAAAAGATTCCGCACTTTTGTTTCGAGTGTGGACGGCTGGTACACAATGAGGGAGGCTGTGTCCCCCCGGTGGAGTCGGACCAACAGTGGGGCGAATGGCTACGGGCTTCGCCGGGCAGATCGGGAGCGAGGAAGGAAGGATCCTACAGAGGGCCAACCAGCAGTGCCAGTAGCTATGGGAGTGTTAGATCAAGTGAAGGGGATATGGGCAGCAGGAAGATGGGATCTGTACGTGATCTCCCAACAAAACGCAACCTTAACAGGGAGTTTGACAGACCTGCTGATTCTCGCACTGGCGGGAATGAGCATGGTGTCCAGGGTGAAGTGTCCAGCCCCAACAAATAGCGGCACGGGCCGGAGGTGGCGACGGGCAAGGACCTGCGGGATGAGCTTGAGAAAAAAAGGGAGCAGAATATGCGCAATGAACTGAGGCACCGTCAGATGAACAAGCAGGCTGAGCTAAGGTCGCAGTACAAAGCATATACGTCCAGAGAGCATTATGGGGGAGGAAGCTCTAGCCACACTAGAGAGAGGGAAAGTAGGAGGGGCTACTATGTGAGGAAGCCAAGGCCGGAGCAAGATGAACAGAGGGCAGCTAGGAGCCCGGTTCATGATGGCACTGGAGATAGGAAGCGAAGGCCGAAGCAACATTGGGTGGTAAAGGGGGATTCGGTGAGGCAAGTTGGTAATGATACTTTCATTCGCGACACAAGGCAAAGAACGTCTTCCGTGTTTGACCGTATCTCTGAGCAGCATGATGCATCGGCGGACCCTGCGAGGCAGAGCCGCCGGTCCCAATGAACATCTTGGCCTGGAACTGTCGAGGACTGGGGTTGGACTCGACAGTGGGCGAACTCCGAGACCTGATTAGGTCCTACAACCCAGCGGTGGTGTTCTTAAGCGAGACAAAAAAGAAGCCGAAGGCTATGGAGAAATTGAAGTGGAGTTTGGGTTTCCGAAGTGGTGTGGCGGTTGACTGTCAAGGTTTGAGTGGGGGTTTAGCGATGTGGTGGAGGGAGCATCTTCAAGTCACTGTTCGACCTTGGTGCCAATATTTCCTGGGTGTGGAAGTAGGTTGGGAAGGCAAAACCTGTAGGATCACTGGATTCTACGGTGAGCCCGATGTGGAGCATAGGAAGAAATCATGGGACGCTCTTCGATACCTAAGAAGACAAGATGAGTTACCATGGCTGTGCCTTGGTGACTTTAATGAGGCTTTACTGCAAACTGAGCAACGAGGTGGTAACCCGAGGAGTTTCATCCAAATGGAAGACTTTCGTGATTGCTTGGCCGACTGCGGCCTAGCTGACCTCGGCTTCTCCGGGTATCCCTATACATGGGATAACAGAAGACAAGGAAATGAGAATATCCAAGTTAGATTGGACCGAGGCACATGCAATAATGAGTTCATGGCAATGTTTCCAGATACACATGTCCAACATATAATCACAGAGGAATCGGACCACTGTGCGCTGGTGGCCAAGGTTCTGGAGACGGCTTCAGAGCGGGATGATCAAGGCCCCAGGCAGTTCAGGTACGAGGAAGCATGGACAAGGCATGAGCGGTACGAGTCAATGGTCGTTGAAAAATGGAATGCAGCGGACACAGGGGGGTTGGGTATTTCAGCTACATGCAGCAGGCTGTCTACGCTTTCAAAAGGTATGCAAGTGGGGAAGAGTAGTTTTTGGATCGATACGAAACCAAATAAAGCAGCTGCAAGTTCAGTTAAAGGATGCAAAGTTCCGAGCTCTACGGACAGGCTACCAATCAGAAGTGAGAGAAATAGAAGAACAGCTGCGAGAGGTATATGCGCGGGAAGAAGTGATGCAATGACAGTGGTCGCGAGTGGACTAGCTAGCGGCGGGCGATATGAATACGAAGTATTTTCGGGGAAGGGCCTCGCATAGAAAGCAGAAAAATACAGTTCGAGCGTTGCTTCGAGATGATGGGTCAAAGTGCATGGTGAATGAAGAGATGAGAGAGATGGCAGCAAAATTCTATGAAGTGTTGTTTACATCTGAGGGGTCGATGGGTGCTCAAGCATTACTCCAGAATATTCCTAGCATCATTTCTGAGAATATGAACCAGAGACCTGTGACACCGGTCACTGACGAGGAGATAGAGCATGCGTTGTTCCAGATGGGGCCAACAAAGGCACCGGGCCCTGATGGGCTGCCAGCCCTCTTTTATCAACGACACTGGTCGCTTGTAAAGGAAGAAGTGTGCACGGTGGTGCGTGATTTTCTTGCTGGAGTAGCAGCTCCGGAGGCTTTTAATGTGACGGTGATTGTTATGATCCCGAAAGTTAACTCACCGGAGGTGCTTTCGCAATTTTGCCCAATCAGCCTCTGTAATGTTTTGTATAAAATTGCCTCTAAGGTGCTAGCTAATAGGTTAAAAGCTATTTTGCCGATACTTATCTCGGAGGAACAAAGTGCTTTTGTCCCAGGCCGACTAATCACAGATAATGTTTTTGTGGCCTATGAGTGTGTGCATGCCATAACAAAGAGAAAGAGGAAGAAACCACTTTGTGCAGTCAAGTTGGATATGATGAAAGCCTACGATAGAGTGGAATCGGTGTTCCTAGAGAAAATGCTCCTCAAGTTTGGTTTTGACAATGCATGGGTAGCCATGATCATGAGGTGTGTAACGTCGGCAAATTTTGTTGTCAAGCTTAATGGTGGGCTGTCCAGAATGTTTACCCCATCCCGAGGATTACGGCAAGGAGACCCTTTGTCCCCATATCTATTCCTGTTCTGCGTGGAAGTTTTTTCTGCGTTACTGAAAAAGGCCCAAGAGGATAATCTTATAAAGGGTGTGTCTTTTGGGAGCACTGGCCCCCAAGTGACTCATCTTCTATTCGCTGATGAAAGTATTATCTTTCTTGAAGGTTGTGTTGACAACTTTCTAGCTCTGAAGGATATATTGGGTATATATGAACAAGCGTCAGGACAGAAGATAAACTTACATAAATCCTCCATTTTCTTTGGGAAGGGGTGTCAGCAGGATCAAAAAGAGGCCCTCAAGGCATCGATCGGGATTGAAACAGAGGCGTTGAGTGAGAGGTATTTGGGTCTCCCAACGGTGGTGGGGGGAGCCAAGGATGGGTCTTTCCAATATGTGGTTGAAAGCTCAAAAAAGAAGGTTACGGGTTGGAAGGGGCAAGGCCTTTCAAAAAAAGCAAGGGAAATTCTTGTGAAATCTGGGCTGCAAGCTACTCCTGCATTTACTATGAGCTGTTTTCTCCTCACAAAGAAGATGTGCCGGAACCTGACATCTATCTCGTCAAAATTCTGGTGGGGGCAGTGAATGGTGAGCGCAAAGTGCATTGGATTGCCTGGGATAAAATGTGTGCTGCAAAGAAGGAAGGAGGCATGGGTTTTAGGGACGCCGAGGCATTTAACCAGGCATTATTGGCCAAGCAGGCGTGGAGGATCTTGCGGGTTCCCTCCTCGCTCTGTGCGCGTGTCTTGAAGGCCAAATATTTCAAAGATGGCGACATTATGAATGCAACATGTCCTGATGGTGGATCATACACATTCAGAAGTATGGCGAGTGGGAGATGGCACCAAGATTAACATCCACCATGATCAGTGGATACCGAGAAAGGGCAGCTTATCACCACTGGGTGCTGAGTATGTCATGGGGGTCATGAAGGTCTGCCACTT